GCCCACCTAATGCCCAGTGAGCATTACATCAAATGTGACAGTTCCAAGCAACTGCACTCTTCTACTTGATGACATTCTGCATATTTTTCTGCACCTTGTTTTTCTTGTGGTTAAAAATTTCCTTCCAAGTCAATTGATATTAATTTAATTCACTCAAATTGCTACATAATATTTGATTGGATAGATTATAGTTTATTCGACTCTTTACTAGTAATAAATATTAGAAAGGTCTTCATTTTCAAACCATTCCAACTAATGTCATCTTAAATACTCTTCAACAGTTTCCCATTTATACTGATGTTGTTTTTTTATTTTTTTATTTTTGGTACTGGGGATCCAACTCAGGTCCTTGCACTTGCAGGTCAGGCAGCAGAACCACTGAGCTAAATACCCGGCCCCTGATGCCATTATTTTTTAAGAATAATCTTCATATCATTACTCCTACACATTATTCAAAATTCTAATATTTGCCCCTTCACAAAAGACCATATCAATTTATATTTTTGCACATGAGAAAAATATGTCTTTTATTTTACATGCCTCCCCCAATTGACTTGGTGTTTTAAATCTTTCATCAATTTTGTTAATAAGAATCATCTCATTCTATTTTATTTTTTATTTCTCTAATAATGAAAGAGAATATTTTACACATGTCTATTATTATTTTGATTTTTCTTCCATGAGGAATTTATTCAAATAAACTTCATCCATTTTTCTATTGGGCTGTTTATGGTTTAAATATATATTTGCAAGAAATCTTAGTTTTAGCCAATTCCTATTCTAAGATTTGTGTTTGGCCTTGTGTAGCAACCAACTCTCAAGCAAGTATAGATAGTATTACATAATTAAATTCATTTTTATTTTACTTTATAGTTTTATATGTTGCTTCTAAAACGGTATGCTCGGGCTGGGTATGTAGATCAGTAGTAGAGCACTTACCTAGCATACATAAGGCCCCAGTTCAATCTCCAGTACTGCCAAATCATTATCATCATCATCACCAATATTTTTGATCTCTATGTTCTACATATAATCTCTTTAAATTTTGTCTTAAATTAAGCTGAGTGTGGTGGTGCATGCCTATAATCTCAGTACTCAGGAGGCTGAAGCAGGAGGATCACCATGAGTTTGAGACTAGCCTAGGCTACATAGTGAGTTCAAGCCCAGCCTGAACTACACTGCAAGACCCTGCCTCAAAATAAATGAATAATAATTTTGTCTAAAATTTTTGCAATAGTTTTTATTGTTGAGTCTTTCTCTGTTAAAGTCCAAAATTATATTATTCAGCAGTAATAAAATTGCATTAATCATGAATATGTACTGAATCATCTGTGAAATTCATTCTTTTGTTTTCACTGAAATAAAGTACTACGTACATCATCTTTTAAGTATATGTGTATATTTATATTTACACATATGCACACATATATCTGTGTATATGTATAGACTTTGCTTTATAAATCCTTTATGACATATCACTAATCTTTTTAATAGCTTCATAGTGTGATTCAGTTAAAAATGTGGTATAGAGCAATCCCAGTCCATCTTAATGAAACAAATAAAATCTTTGGATTACTAATAGGCATTGTATTTATAGAATATGTGGAAAAAAATAGCCATTAATAATGTTTCACAACCAAGAATAGATGATGTGTTTCTTTTAACAATAGTGTTTTTATATTCTTCAACAAAACTCTTTGCTTAAGCTAAATTTACTTCTATGTATTTTATAAATGTATGACTTTTGTTGCTGTTGCAAATAAAATATTTGTCATCTATCATTAATATGCATTACTTAATTATTATGTACATTAGAGAAATTTTTTGCATTTTTTAATTTTTGTATTTTATTTGCATGTAGCATAAGTAACTAAAAATAAATGATTGCTAATTTTCCCAATATTCAAATTATGTAATTTTCTTTTTTGTTTAATTCACTAACACTTCCAGAACAACTATAAAAGATAAGAATAAAAATAAATATTCGAATTTTGTTTCTACTTTTAATAGAAACTGCATTTTTATTTGACTTTTTAAAATTATGGTTTGCTGCTAGAGTTTTGAGTAAACTTTATAATATTTGAATAGTTAATTTGCATTACAGTTTTATTAAATTTTTAATAGACTTACCTGCTGAATCATACCAAATCTTTTTCATCATTCACTTATGAACCAATATTACTTTTTAATGAATTAATAAAATTTTAGATATTGAAACATGGTTATTCTCTGGTTGATTATTAAAAAATGCATTTTAAATGAAAAGAAGCAAACTGAATCCACATAGCACCAAAACAAGAGCAATTATATACTGGGATGTGTTCCTCATACTGTCCCAAGCTTCCCTTCAAGGTTTCTCTTGCTAAGGCAATTAGATGAGTCAGTTTCTCCATTCAGAAACAAAAATACTAAGCCTGAGGATTTAAGGATTCCCCAAATATATGAAAGTACTACCGAGACAGCACTTCAATGCCTCCGTTCTTTTAAAGATGTTAGTCAGAGGTACAGCTCAGTCCAGAAGCACCACTGTTGAGCTCTGAGAAAACCCCCTTTCCCAACATCTCCCCTTCTCCTCCCTCCGAGCCTCACCTCCAGGTTTCCATGTAAGCATCGGAGGAAGAATGACGTGCACTTTGGGTTCGTCAACTTTAATTCTCACCCTACTACTCCTTCTGTCCTCTGTACCACAGGTGTATTGAAGATGGCACCAACCAGGTCCCCATGACATAGTGTATAAATAGCAGATATTCAATAAATGGTTATTTAGAATTAATAGTGAAGATAGATTTAAATATATTTTATCCAATTTGAATTAAAAGCTCTTACTATCTCATTTTGTAACCAGAAAACTGCAACTTGGGGCTGGTTGAAAGTGCTTTGGAACGGACTTTTATAAATCAGGGATAGTGAGCTAAAGCCTATTGCCTCTGGCTGCCCCTCTGCTAAATCATGGAAGAAAGAACACTTTCACAGCAAAACTTCAGCTACTTGCTTCTGGTTCCTACTCTTTCCTGGCTACTGGCCAAATCTACACCAATTCTGTCAAAAACATCAAGCATACAGTGCTTGGCATCACTACCTCTAGCCTGAGAAGGACATCATGCTGCCTCTGAAAAATCAATCCATATCAATCTACTGATACATTTGGAAAAAATGTTCTTTTTAGTAGCACACAAGGGGATGGACATATTAACAAGGAATTTGCTATTGTAAACAAAATTTAACAGTGATACATAGCAGTTGGATGAAACTGCAGATCAGGAAAATGCTTTATAAAATCCAGTCTCTGGATTGGTCTGAAGGCTCAACAAAGCCATCCAGACTAGCAAGCACAATTTTAAATGTGTGTGTGTGTGTGTGTGTGTGTGTGTGTGAGTGAGAGAGAGAGAGAGAGAGAGAGAGAGAGAGAGAGAGAGAGAGAGAGAGAGAACCAGAGACAGAGACAGGGATTGTAAGTTCAAATTCCAGGAGGAGCCAGACAAGTAATAAACAAAAGGAACAACTTTGTATTGGGTACTGTGTTGACTAATAGGTCAGTCAACTCCCAGTAGATTCCTACTAGATGTTTCCCTGTGAAAATACAAGACTAGCATAGTCATATCTTTCCATTGTTAAGGTAATACATTATATAAATATGATTTTATATGAAATTATCTAAATAATACATGGCTCAAACAAAGTTACATGAAGAGAATTTTTTTCATTAAGTTTGTTGGTACATTTTAGGTATGCAATATGATGACATTCATCATTGGGAATTTGTACCTCTACATGATGTATCTTGGTTCTTATTTTCTCCTCATTTCCCTGCCCTCCCATCAACCCCTCCAATCTTCCCTATTTACAAAAAATTTGTTTCCATTTCTTCCTTTTCTCATATCTATTCCTTTCCCTTGGGGAAGTGGGAGATGAAGGCATATTTATAAACAATTTAACTTAATTAATACCTATGATGCCTAAAGAATGTTTATGTTATTTTCAAAGTGCATATGAAATACACAATAATGTATAATACACACAAAGTAGTTTTTGAAACCACACAGCTTTTAAATGTCAGAGCTAAGAGCCAAGGACATGCTGTTGAGTCTTTGTCTCTGTCTTCTCCCTGGAAGAGTGGACCTACTGCAATAGAGTTTAGAGAACAAGTAATTTCTGATGAAGTCTAGTTCATCTTTCCTCTGTGAGCTAGTTTCTAAATCCACAGTCTTGAAATATATCTTAAGGTTTAGGAGTAATCATGAACCCTAAAGAAAGGTTGCCCTAAAGGAAGATGGCATGGTCCTAGTCCCTCCTGTGGACTTCTTGTTGGGCCTTACTCATTAGAAGATCTTGGAACTTCTTTGTTCTGACTTCCTTAAAAACTGACTTCATCCAAAATCAGTTTAAGCAAATGACATAGTTGCTCTAGTTTCCCCTTTCACACTGCCTAGAGAAATATTAATTGAATATTAATATACATGATGCCAAACTCCTGAAATCTTGTTAAAGTGAAGATTGACTCACAAGCTTGCAGCAGCATACAAGATTCTTCCATTTGAACAACTCTCTAGATAATGTCACTGCAGCAGGTCAATGGGCTGCACTTTCACTAGCAAAGCAAAGAGCATACTCAGACAAATGCAGACACGTTGTGAAGAGTTTAATGTAAATCACAATGAGAATTTAAATGAGAGAAGGCAAATGTTTCCAGATATGAAATGCTTCCAGGATCTTGCAGGGTTCTCTTAGTCACAGTTCACGCCTGCATTTCTTAACTCTTTCCTGGAAGATCCTTGGGATTTTTCCTCTTCATTCCTGTGCTGGAGGATAAATGTCTTCAGTGACTCAAATAGCAACAAAAAGATCCATAGAGTGTCTAGGAAATATAAGCCTCTTCTTCCTCAAAATTTGAAATGAATCACTATGAAGTTAATGGAATAATTTCCTTTTTGGTAGAAACACTGTCCTCTTCCTAAGATATTAATTATTGCAGGGAAAATGGAACTTGCACTTTTGTCCCATCACTTAGACTTCAGGTCCAGCTTTTCCAGGAGTTTTACTCTAATCTGCCGAGTTTTTACACAATATACAATGGGATTCATCACTGGCGGTAACAGCAAGAAAGCATCTGCTATCAGAATCATAGCTAAAGGAGACTTATGCTTAGCAAAGCGATGCATGGTGGCCAAGGTGATGATGGGCACATAGAAGATGAGCACAGCAGAGATGTGAGATACATAGGTGTTAAGAGCTTTGAGCAGCTCCCCACGGGATGCGATGCCCAATACTGTTTTCAGTATGAACACATAGGAGATGGCAATGAACTCACTATCTGACATCATGCAGAGTGCAACAAACAGCCCATAGTAAAAGTTAACCCTATTGTCAGAGCAGGCCAGCTTCATGACATCCTGATAGAAGCAGTAGGAGTGTAATAACAAGCATTTATTACAGTATCTGAGTCTCTTTAATGTAAAAGGAAGGGGAAGCACTAGAAGAATGCTTTTAATAGCAAATGCTAGGCCAATTTGCAAAACTCTGGAGCCTGTAAGGATAAAGCTATATCTCAGGGGGTGGCGGATGGCTACAAACCGATCAAAGGACATGATCAGGAGCACCGAAGACTCCATGTCTGTGAATCCGTGGATAAAGAATTCCTGGGCAAAGCATGCATCAGCGGAAATCCCCATAGTGTTGAACAAGAAGATTCTCAGCATAGTGGGGATGGAGGAGAAAGACAGGCCGAGGTCAGAAAGGGCCAGCATGGAGAGGAAGTAGTACATGGGCTCATGAAGGGAAGTCTCCATTCTGATGACACAGAGGATGATGCAGTTGCCGAGGATGGCCATGAGGTACATGAGGCAGATAGGGATGGAGATCCAAACAGGCATGTGCTCAAGCCCTGGGATCCCAATCAACAGAAATGTGGAGACTTCAACCTCAGAAGTATTGGGAAGAAACATCACAAATCTCTGTGTAGCTGCTATGAGGTCTAAAGTGACATTCAGAAAATAGACAAAAAGTATCTCTGAGTTGTTAGATAAACTTCATGGAGCTCAATATTAGTTGACCAGAAATAATATAATTTTTTCTATATAAGGAAAAAGGTAGAGTAGAGCTCAACAGCTCCTTCATACTATTTGTTTAAGAACTCTATGCTAGTCTTCAAATCTAGTAAAAATACTGCAATGTATGGTGTTTGGACCAGTATTTGGATCCATGTGGCATTTGGTCATATTCCTGATGCCAACATCACTGACACCTGGGGCAGCACTCGTTTTAAGGGCTCTACAGCAGAGAAGCCACAGTAGTGCAGCCTGTCCTTCTCAGGGGAGTGGGATGGAGAGAGAAACATGGTAACAGGACTTCCATCCCTTTCTCTAAGCCCTTCAAAATGGACCATAGTCAAAGTCCCATATTGCAGGCTATTCTTGACAGGCTCCCAACTTAATTTGTGTAACTGAAGAGATTATTTTTAATGCATTTATCATAAAAATATAAAGAAATTGGGCTGGAGATTTGGCTCAGTGGCACCACGCCTGCCTGGCAAGCTCAAGGTCCTGAGTTCGATCTCCAGGAACTGGAAAAAAAAAATATATATATATATATACAAAGAAGTACCCTATATCTTACACATGGACCCCTAATTTTTTTCAGTCACAAGTCTTCCACAAATGTATCTTAATCCCTTAAATCGTGTAATTAGTGAAGTATATTTTACCTCCAGCCTCCTAAAAGGCATAGAGATGATCTCTATAAATTCCAGTGATTTTATTAGAAAATATAATAGTTCCTTTGGGATATTTAATGTGACTCTCTGGGACACATGCCAAACTCCTGCCTGACCTAGTCCAAACCAAGAGTAGAAAGACTTTGAATCCTGCAACTTCTGCAACTAGTCCACTCTAGCACCCTGGTGGGAATCCACATCTTATTTATATTCTCATACTTTTTTTTAGCTTCAATAAATTCTTTTTAGAATTCATAATTACCTAGTCCCCTGGGAAAAATGACTCTACTTGCTTCACTGCTATCTGTCAATAAAGGACTCTTCTAACAAAACCCAGGCAGCAAGCCACAATACCAACAATACCCTCTTCAGTGGAGAAAATCAACAACTAGGAAGAATATATCTATTTATAGATATCTGTTAGCCTCAGCGACTCCACTATTAATCTAGTGGATGCATAGCTGGTCCACAGCTGGTCCAGCAATGGCACATACTGCCAAAAGGAGCCAAAAATATGGAGTTCTTTTAACAAGGATTATCTTGGTAAAAACATGGAAAACAGCATTCTCTTCATTCTAAGAATGTTAGCAAAAAGAAAAATGTGTTTCTACCTTTGACGAAATTGTCTAGCATAGAAGAGAATGAATTTCGTCCCCCACCAGGGGTCATTTGGCAATGCCTGGAGACATTTTGGGTCATCATAACTGGCGAGGAACTTTACTGACATCTAGACAGCAGGGGTCAGTAAGCCCCTAAACACCCTCTAACCCTGAGACAACCCTTCACAGTGAAGACTTGCCCAACCCTTCACAACAAAGGATTATCCAGCCCCAGATATCTATAGTGCCCAGGCTGAGAAACCCCATCCTAGACCCTATGAAACAGCAGAAAGTTACACACCTAATTACTTACGGAGACATTTACAAACATGACAAATCACTCATTAGCAAGTCAGATGTCAAACTTTTAAGGAATTTTGTCTTATGAGTGAAAACAATTATTAATATTAAGAAATCAATGAATGGTATAACTTGCTAATTAGATTTTAGAAGAAAAAACATGATTTTCCTAAGAGAGGAGAAAAATTCATAAAATTGAATAATAATTGAAGATAAAATTCTTAACACTTAGAATTCTTCCTAATGAAGTGTACCATCCACGAATTCAGGCAAAACATGTTTACTAGTGATCTACTGAAATGAGTGACACAATATCACATCCACTATCACAACTACTATGCGATTCAATGGTATTAGCAAATTTTAAAATACAAGTGAAAAGGTTTTTAAAAAAGCAGATGTCTGTATTTACATTCTAATTGCTTTTTCTGCCAAAAGAATATCCAAAAGAATTGACTATAACCTCTAAAAATAACTTACCTAAGTAACGAGACAGATAAATATAAAAAATCAATAGATATTCCTGTTTATAAAGCTCACCACTGAGAAAATTTTATAAAAATGAAGATTTTTTCATTATATTCACAAAGTATAAAATATACTGGTATAATAAGAAGTTTGTGTTAAGTGGCTGATACAAGTCTGTAAAAATTTACTAAGTAATATAAGAAAGCATTTTATTCCTTAATTCCTTTTCTGGATAGAACCTTCCATAGTAAACAGATGTGAATTTTCCCATTAAGTAATACATGGTCAATCAACAGCACTGGGGAAATCTTCATAGTGACAGATGGATCATAAAACATATATTAACTAGATACTTAAAACATGTAAACACAGTACAATATGGAAAACAACAAAAAGAACAACATATCCTTTGCTACATCAAAATGTAATTTTAAGCTACTATAACTATCAAACTGTAAATAAGATGTGTGTGTGTGTGTGTGTGTGTGTGTGTGTGTGTGTGCTGGAGATTGAACTCCATGGCTTATGCATGTTCAGCACAGGTTGTAAAACTAAGACACACCTCCCACCCGTCTAAATCTTTTTGAAAATATATAAACATTCCTGTTCTATACAACCTTTCATTTGAATTGCAAATTTCAAGGAAAAAATACACCTCATGATAATATCACAATAAATGAAGGAAATGCATTTATGACTTCCTAAAGTTTAAAGCCATTATGTAAAATATCTATCTGCATTAAAAACAAATGTTGTTGATTAGAAAAGATATAGGTAAACAAAATTAAAAGTAACAAAGTGAGAAAATGTCCCCTAGAAGTCATCATTCTCCCCATTTTGTTGGTAAAGCGAGGTCCACATACTTGGGGTTCTGATCTTGGGTATTTGCTTCAGAACATATTTATCAATTTCACATATAGCCTCTCCTTGCTGGCTTTTTAAAAAACTCAAAACAATGGATAGGCTAGATTGGTTCTTATGAATCATGCCTACACATTACAATCCCTTAGAACTGTTTAAAATATGAAAACTAGACTTCAACTCATATCAAAAGCCCCAAATATTTGAAGATGGTGTCCACGTATCTGAATTAAATCAGATTATGTATCTATTCTTTTGGTGATGTTCTGAGTTTTCTTGATAGTATGAGAGTTAGAAACTCTAAGCAATAACACTAAGTATAGAGTTCTATGGCAGGCAGCTTTGATCATAGAGAATGATAAATATTGGGAGGCATGGTTACTCTAGTCAGGTAAAATAATAATCGTAAGGATTGAAGTCTTTCTTCATTGTCTAGAGGTAGGGACATGGTAACTCACTGCCATCCATGGTCCTGTCACATGTAAATCTTGCACTATAAAATCTCCATCATCTGCCTATTTTCAGTTGTCCCTATGATGATCAAAAATGTCAAGATATATTTGAACTGTATCTTTCTAAATGAATACAGTAGTCACTATTAAGACAGCCAGAAAAAAACTCAGAACATGAGGATCCTGTAAGAATGTAGAACTGCTGCCAAATGAAAAGAACTCACCCAGCTTGTTTACTAACAAATACGATCTATAAATATCCAGATTTAAAGGATAGGTGAAGCAGAAACAAAATATATAATGTGTCACTTTTAGGGCCCTACAGAGTCACTAAAATTCAACCCCATTTCCTTGATATAACTGGCTTTGACAGTTTCAACAGGAAATAAATATTTGTTGTAAATCTCATGCTGATATCTCACTTCCCACAATCTTCAGTTTGAGCCAGTTGCTCTGAGTGTCTCTTCTCAATTTTTTGCTCTCCGCCTCTGAATTACCATCTTTTTCCTCTAAGCACTTGTTTGTCGGCTTGCTCACTTCCCTCTACTTTAACTCTCAACAGTCTGTCTTGTGGGCTTAGTTTCTGTGATCCTAGTGTCTTACCTGGCTCTCAACAGAGAGAGAGGTGCCCTTTCTGCTTTCTGCCCAGAGAGTGTGGATGTTGCAGGCTCACAGACTTGATGCTTTATAAGAAATCAGCATGTTTCCTCACCCTGTTGTCAAGAACCCTTGAGACTCCTCATTAAGTGGGACAACTAGAATTTCCTGGGCAACTACTCACACTGGACTGAAGCAAATCAAAACTATATTTATATCTCTCTTTTCTGTATAATATTTTTAATATCTCAATGGGGCTTAGTATGCTATCTTAACCTGTGTAGGGCATGTAGTAATCAAAGCATTAAATTATTAAAATGATTAAATCATTAAAGCAGTACTCTGTTCTTAAAAATTTCTTATTCTTTGGAGTCTCTATTTCCTCTCCTGCAGATATTCATTAAATACATAGAAGATCAATGTGAATGAGTCATCTCACTGTGCTGTGCAACACTAAAACTTAATCCTCCTATGTAATTTTGTTTTATTGCCTGATTTATCCACTCACATCTTTCACATTTCCCAGCCTCTAGGAATCACTATTCTGCTTTCAAATTGACATTTTTGGCTACCGCATATGTTATTTATGTTTTTCTGTGTCTAGCTTATTTCCCCTAACATCTAGTTTGATCTATTTTGCTGCAAGTTAGAGGATTGTGTTGTTCTTTATGGTTGAAGTATGTTCCATTGTGTCTGCACACCACATTTCTTTTATCCATTCATATTTGGATTGGCATCCAGGATGACTCCATATTTTAACTACTATGAATAGTGTCACAATAAACGTGGGCATGTTGACCTCCAGCTACTCTACTGAATTTGGTTATTAAGTCTAGAAGACTTTTGGTGGAGTTCTTGGGGTCTTCTATGTAGAATATCATGTCATCTGCAAATAATGACAATTTTAAATCTTTGTTTCCTTTTATTCCTTTTATTTCTTTCCCTTGTCTAATTGC